CATATAATTTTTGGGAACAAAAATGACATGCAATCATCCATCTATATCGTCGCTACCACTTCACGAGGAGAAAATGAAGAAGAAAAAATTGATAATAGTTGCAAAAAGTTGACTGCGGTCATGACGGTGCACAATGTATAGTTTCAATAAATTAATAAATCATAAATTTTCATTTATTATACTACATATATAATTATACGTTTTAAAGGCTGCTGAATCCACATATTGCATCAACTTTATAATTTTACCCTTATTTAGGGGCCTAATAACTAGGAGATGAATTTCAAAACGGTATAAGTTTTTTGTTTTACATTATTTATGTCTAAAGGCTCATAGGACTAAAATAGGGGAAAATGAAATTGAAATATTATATTATATTTATAATTATTAAATTATATATTATATATTATATATTATAATTAAATTATATATTTTTATTGAATTTTTTTTTATTTAATAAAAAACTGTAATACACATTTAAGTTGAATTGAAAAATCTTAAATTTTCTTTTTTGTTAAACTTTCCAAATTTACTACAACAAACAACTAAGAGATTATGATGCATGAGGTTTTCGTTTGTATTTGGTCGTGAAACGTTAATGTAAATTATCAATCGGAAGTACTGTATGATGTACTAATACGTAATTTATTAAATTTAAAAACAAATAATAATTATAAATACTATTTATTATTTTCCTAACTGGCAACTAGAAATAATGCTCTCTTCTTTATCCCCCATTACCTAACTAGCTACATAAAAAATGCTGTAACAAGTATAGCGCAAAAATATTATATCTTATATTTATTTCTTATTTTATGTTGATAATAATTGTTATGTATTTTGAAAATGTTTGAGACAAAATTGTACCAACTTATCCAAACCTATCGACTAATAACAAAATACAGATCAATAACAACCAAGAAACAACAATTTTCAGTATAAATACAATTTTAAAATTGTTCAAAATCATAATTTAAAAAGTTTACTTTACATTTCAGCCAACAACACGGCGAATGTGTCATCTTTTCACACGCTATCAACACGCCGACCTGTCTGTGTAGAGTAAAACGCAACAACATTATAATATTAGCTCGCGCTCGCTAGCTCGTCGACGAACCAGAGCATGACGGTCCATAAACGCTCCATCGCGTTTAGAAACGACGGCAAAATTATAATATTATTGTTACATAGTCTTCCGTGCGTACACGATCCTTCCTCACTTTTGCCTTGTCTGTCAAGGGCAAGTTCATCTCTGAGCGACCTCTTGCTTGGCCTGCAGTAAAATATTTATAAATTCATGAACTGGTAGGTCCACGAATACTGAAACATAAATCACGCTTTGGCATTTCCGATGAAACGGTGCACATATGTACCGAAACAGCTGCCCATGGAGTAAAAACGTTGTTGTCAGTAAATTGTATTCCCTATTCAAATTATTTTCGCGTTTCGACGAAATGGACAACACGTAGGCACATACACAACTAGCTGCTACAACTTCGGTGAATTCTTAGCAATCAAAATGAATAAAACGCGACGAAATGCGCCGATTATTCGATATTTTTTATTTCTATTTTTCTAGATGAAATTTTTTTCGCTTGTAAGGTATAGTCATAATGATCATATACTTTCGTATCCGTAATCTTACACACATATATATTTATAAATAGTATCATAACACAATGCCCGATTTCACATTATAAAAATTATACATTACTATTTAACATTGAGTATAGATTGTTCACATTCAATAGCATTTCATAATATAAACCAACGAATACCTGTTTTTAACAAGAAATTATACATAATTTTGAAACATTACGTGATATTTCATTTTATTAGATATCTATACATTTAAAATTATAATATGTATATGTTTCGTTCGAACTGAAACTAACATTTACCATTGAAACACTTTTTTATGACAGTTCTATAATACAGGGTAATCATTACCATATTTTGAGTCTTTTAAAATACAATCAAAAATAAAAATATAAATAGTAACTGTATTTATTATTTCGCTCGCGTAATTATCACCAAGAATTTTTTCAATACTATAAACCCCAATAAATTTAACTATTTTTAAAACAAAAAAGCAATGAATGAAATGTCCACTAAATGTATAATCTATTTATTGCAATACAATAACAATGTCACAATAAAATAATCCTCGATTAGTTTTATATATTTTTTATACGCTCTATAAAGTTAGTTAAAAATGCTTAGAACCGTAAAATACAAATAAGTCAGAAATAATGAATTGTTACAATTTGACTTACTTAGGATACTTGTTGTTATCTCGTTAGTATGTAATTAGCATATATACACTAAATAGAGACTACTTGGACAGAGACAACAGCATACCAACAACGAGCAAGACGAAACGAACAAACTGTTATGTGAGTATTTAAAGTCTCAGAAAAAAGCCAAAATAATCTCAAGAGAGTCGGGACTTATAATTTAATTTCAAATATTAATTAAACACCGGATAAAGATTTTACGTAATATATGCACATAATAAAAATATAGCTCATGATGATTCATTTCGGCAACCGACTGCAGCAGGCTCCGAAATAACTGTGGTAAAAAAAAATAAGTAATAATAAATAAATATTTTATAAAACGAGTTTTTAAGTCAACGATACACCCGCTCTTCCTCTTCGTTCCCCTCACAACCTTTTATGAATCATACCTGTTTGAACAACCCCCAAATAGTGTACGAATGATATCCACCACGTGTAATCTACGATGATTCATCTCGTCACAAAATCACGCCGCAACAATTGTTCCACCGAGACGACGACCTGTGCGGTCAATTGACTTACTACCTACTGATATCTTACGCTACAGATAACTATACCAATGAATCATCGAGATCCGAGCACATTTCTAGATAATATTCGAAACGCAGGACTATACGATGACGTACTTAAATTGATATTTTTGAACGATACAAATGGAACTGACAAAAAAAATTTGAAAAAATGTTCCGTAAACAATAGATACATCTTCTTCTTTTTTTCTTTTTCTTCTCATTCATCTTTCTCCCAACTATTTAGGGTCGGCCATCCTTTTCCTAAACCTAAGTTTTGTTTCAAACTCCTCATACTCTTTGGCAACATTTTTACACTGGCTGTCGACCTGACGCAACCTCAATTAATCGCCTCTTACGACTGACTAAGGAACCATGGAAGTATTCTGATCCCCTTCCACAGGGGAATATCATATTATATATAGGGCTATAAATTAACATGACTAATAAACTTGTTTTGTTATTATAATATACTATTGTATAATAATTCGTAAAATGATCTAGCAAACGTAAGTCCAATCGATCTATAATCTATAATCTTACACGTAAAACAAATAAGTTTGTACACTGTATAACTGTAGATATTATATTTCTCCTTCGTCTCTCCAAAAATAATTATAAGGATTAAAATCAATCACTTATCGCGTATCATAGTATAAGTGCATACGAGTGTGTGTTTATAAAAGACGAATAAAATCGATCTACTCAAAGAACAATGACCTAGAAATTGGGTCTTCATAATATATTATTTTTCGATTACAGCTTATAAAACTACTTGACCTGATTTGAATTTTTACTTTGCGTGCTCAAGACAAATAAGATGAGTCCTTCGAAAAGTAAAAAATTATGTAGACGTACTTAGAATAGAAGCAAAAGACCTCGTCAAATATAAACACATATACACGTACAACAATAACAACTACCATAACGACGATGAAACGACGGTGTAACAACAGCAGCATAAAAGCCCATGGACGATTGATAATTAAATTAACGACATTGTACGCGCAAAAATATTCTCTAGAAAATTCAGTAACGACCTAACGGGCGGTTCCAAACCCAATGAACCCTCCTGAGAAAGAGAGAGAGAAAAATAAATAATAATAGTACTCACCTATGATAGTACAATTATATAATAATATATATGGTATAACCTAAAAAAATTGAATAACAAAAAATAAAATCTAAGACTTATAATAGAATTTGACAGCGTAATGAGACGCATTAGCCAATTCGAAATTATACAGTACTGCAACTGTTACTACCGCTGCTTTTATACTAATGACGTTCTTTCCAATCGAACTCGTTTGTGTTCACGTTAATACTTTTCAGCCAAGATTCATCAATTTTTTTAGAAATATAAACTACATAGGGTATAATATTATATTTATTGAAAAAATAATTGCTAAATAATATTTTAACCAACAAATCATCACCATCGCGCGCTGGACATGCAACGGTCATTCGACAAATTATCTTTTATTATTTTAGAGCAGCGACGCTACGTTGACGATTACTGATATCACGTGTCTGAATTAATTTCATTTCGCTAAAATTGTTTGACATCGATTAAATTCTAACACTCTAAAAAATTGCACAAAAATCACAAGATATTGTTAAAATATTTTATGACAACTGATCAACAAGCCAAAACATGATTTATCGCGAAACGAAAACTCACGAAACTACTCGGTGGTCGACCAGTGTTACGGTCATCAGTTTTGTATTAGATATAGTTCAATGAAATAATTATAAATTTAACCTAATATACTAGTATACTTTTAACCATTCCTATAATATATTATCCGAATATATGTCTTTGCATGCTCCCCCTGTTACTCGACCATTGTAGGTCAAGACTATATACTTACTAAAAATAAAATTGTACTCGCTGTAACAATAATTTATATTAAGATTATTATTGTTATTATTATTATTATTATTATTATTATTTAATAAGCTCAAAGTGATAAAAGTTTTCTCGGTGCTAACTCAACCGCATATTACTTCATGTCTAAAGAACTCACATGAAAAATTTTCAAATGCACGTCGGAAATGAATGATTCACAATGAATGTTTGCTATTATTTTTTAAAGAATGTGAGAACTCACTCGTATCGCAATATTTTCATTGGATTTTTTTGTCGAAAATTAGTAAATTAATACGATATACTCCCATGTAAGTAGAAACGATGAACGGAATACCTTTAGATGGACGTCTTGAGGTAATTGTAAAGATACCATCAAAACTACTCGATTATAGTAGCTCATTTTACTGAGTATAATAATTTTAACAAACCCTCGAGCCAGTGACATATTTTTCCTAGAGAAATGTTAAAAATCATTCGTTATGATCACTGGCAGAGTACCGAACAATATATAGATGTATACACATTATACATTATAGCTATAACAAAAATTAATTATTATAAGTTTATATAATACAATTTCACATAAGTTTTACAATATAATTAACGTTGAATACACGTTGGCTAAAATTAAATTTAAACAATAAATTTATTTTAATTGAGTTACTATTATCGAGATTTGATTACATTTGGATTTAAAATGATAAGATTGTATGTTCAAATGATATTTTTTAAATTATTGTAAATTTATGTTCGTTTTTTATACAACGAATTAATATACTAAATAACTGACTGTATGAGTATTAATAAAATGTCTTTTGATACAGCATTTAGAGTAATGGTTACCGGTTTAATTGTACGAAAACAAATGTATACCACATTAAAGGTCAACATGAGTCTACTCATACTTCAATAGTATACATAGTACAGGTATGCGTAGTATCTGTAGTAGATACGCGTAAAATGATTCGTAGTTTTCTAATTATTTCAAATAAATATTATTTAATATCGAAACCAGAAATATCACTGTCATTTATTACTAAAATAATCGTCGTTAACGTAACGAAGTAAATATTATTCGAGTTCAGTGACGACGATATGTTTTTGTACCGCATGATCGAAGGATTTTTCAAACAGTATTATTATGAAACTTTACTGCCAGTTGTTGTTGGTTTGGCTCATACAATTTACCGAATCACAAAATATTAGCTCCGAAATCATGCCACTCGCATTGAACGGCCATTATATCACATGGCCATCGGTTAAAACCCAAGAAAAATTCATCAACGACAAACGATATATACCGAAAAACATTATTTACACCAGATTTCAGTTGTGTTCCGATCGAGTCTTTATGGCTGCTCCTCGTTACAAGTGAGATTAATACACTTTAAGTTTGTATTTAAAATATAAAATACAAGTATTTTATTAAATGGTGTCAAATATACCTATAATTTTACATTTTAAATTTGTATAAGTAATTTAATCTTTAGAGGGTAAACATTAAATAAGTAAATTTTAACCAGGATGAAATTTGTATACATAGAATACATATTAGTGTCCGCAAAATTATAGGCTAGGGGTGCCGTTCACATTGGGTAATATGGATCTCAATAACATGAATAAGTGTTATAATTATGTGAAACCGTTCCCATGCATGAGCAAGCAAGATTCGGGAACAGGTACGTGTGTTAGCGGATCGTTGATCAATGCCATTGATTTGGTGATGGGACAAGATGGAATACTTTGGGTGTTGGACATTGGTATTTCAGATACCCTAAATGACCATCCGTCTAGAGACGGTGATCCAAAAATAGTTGGATTCGATGCGACTACAGGAAAAGTAAACTGTCAATATTATACAAAAGTTAAAAATTAAGAACTTTTTTTATTTATTATTATTAGTATTATTAATATTTTTATTTTTGAAGAAAACAATAGTATATAATATAATAACAATATTGGCTAAAAATATAATATCATAAAATATAAGCTTTAAATAAGACCTCAAATATTTATAACAAATAAACTAGAATTAAAAATGACGAACATGTAGTTCACGAACAAAATTATTCAGTTTTTAAGCTACAAAATAAACAAGCAACAAACGTATATATGCGCCAGGCATAAAACATACACTTAACCATTTAAATATAATTAATATTCAAATTAATATGATTAAGAGTAAACAATTGTTCAACACCCGTCGGTATTTACAGATGTGTCTAATATTTAGAAAAAATAAAGTCATGTAGATTACCTCATATCCCACGGTTCATTAAAATATTATGGATATAAGTATTTAGGAATTCATTTTATGCACAAATATACTATAAGTATACTGTACTACGAATATTATGAAAAATTTAAAAATGGCCATGAATTTGTTAAAATATAAAATCATCATTAAATTCAAGAAAATGAAACACCATAAAAAACGTTAAAAACTACTTTCCCAAAACTAATGTTTTCACAACTGATGATCATCCTGGCAACGTGCTAAATTACGACACTATACAATCTTTTTTATAATATTCAAAAGATTATCTACATGTTAACCCCAAAAAAAACTACTTCAAATTCCTATTATGCATTAATAAACTTTTGATAAATTTACCACAACATTCTAAAATCAATTGAACTGATAAATATTTATAACCAAAAAAACGTGAGAAATTAAGATCAAAATTTCAATCGTAATTCAAACGTAAGGAGCAAAAATATTGTTAGAAAAAAAGTTTTAAGACCATTGTATTATTATACAATTTTACGTTTAGTCATGAATCAAACTTAAAACGTCAATGCAAAACTTTAATATATATTATAGGTTCAGACTTTATTGAAATATAAAATAACACTCTAAATCACAGCCCACAAACTATGCAATAATAAAAACTTTCACTAATATTAAATAATAATAATAATCTAAGGTCTAGTGTATAAATTGACGAATAAGAATTAATCTTAAGAATTTAATTTACCGATTCTTATTTAAGGGGTCGATTATTTTCAAACTATTATCACTAAGTCTAAAGTATATATTTGCTTGAATGTTTTTCACAGATCAAACACATGATATCTTTACGCACGTTAGCCTGCCGGGCGAAAAGCCGATTGCAGTACCTGGTGGTGGAGTACGTGAAAGAGGCCACAACGGTGCTGTATGTGGGTGACGGTGGTACACGTTCCATTATCGTATGGTACGTACAAAGCAACGAAGGGTACCGGATCAAGCTGCCGCACTCGACCGTTCAAGGTTGCACGGACGGACCGCAGGAAGACGTTTTCTATATAGCGCTTGTGGAACACGAGACATGCAATTACATTTACTTCACGTACCTGTCGAGCCAAGACATATTCCGCAGCAAAACGAAAGACTTGCGCAAACGTATGAACCCCAAGTGCATAGTCAACATGGGTAAGGTATGGGTAAGATAACGTGTATGCATTATAATATATATACATACTATGGTTATTATAATATACAATACGAAGCCGTTTCACGCACGAAAGGCAGATCACGCCACGAGTGCAAATAATATTATTATGACGATGTCGATCGTGTTTCAGGCAAAAAACCGTGCAAAATGGTGTTCCTAGGAGTCGGTTACGGGTCAATCTTGTATTTTCGGATCAAGGGCCAGAACCACTTGTACGGCTGGGACACGAAACAGAGTTTTCTGGAGGAAAACTTCATGATTGCGCGCAAGAGCAAGGATTGCCGGACAATAACACACGTGGACGTAGACAACGACGGTGTCCTGTGGGTGTTGGAGAGCAACATACAAGATTTCATCACCGGCCATGTGGGCTGCTTCGGGCCAAGTATAATGCTGACGCCCGTTTTCGAAACCCCGACGCCAGTCTCGTGCGATTTTGATAGTAACACCGATGAAACGTTGACATTATTGCGATGAACGCCGTCACCCGATTTCAAATTTTCATCTTCGAACATAGCAATTTGTTTGATATTTTCACTTTACCGTTTCCGTCGAAGCGCTACAATCGAATTTTTCCCGAACGCATGTCACGACGATATTATTATTATTATGTTGGGCACACCACCACTATGACGTGTATCAATGTTAGTGTACATACACATTATTTTTCAACTGTACATCATTCGTATTATGTACAATACATTTGCACAAAACCGAACACGTGTGTGTATTATTTTAAAGAGAAAAAAAAACTTATAATGTTGATTTTTCATAATACAGTAATTAATACCTGAAAGCGTACATCAAGTTCGGCTGTTAATATTAAATATCTTTATCTGTATAATAAAACACTAGAACCTTGGGCCATCGTTGATAATATTATGATGTTTGCAACACAAATTTCGTGCTATATAACATTATTTGACTTTCTCCCGTGATTTATTCAGACTAAGTTGACTAAATTGTATTGATTTCATTTATTCTGGTTATATGTTATTTGTTTGGAGCCGATAAAAGACTATTTTTTTGGTTCGTTGTGTGTCGTTTGACAAGGCCACCATCGCCGTAGTCTATCTCCGGGTACCTCCTATAGCAACTCTACAATACATATTAAGTTGCAGATATTAATCGTACGTAGTGTGAACAAAGAAACTTAGTTAATTGCCACTTCCGAAAGCGACAAGTCACTTAGAAGAAAAAAAGAAGTAAAATATGCCTGTCTCAGATTCAGCAAACGCGTATTACTTTATCAGTCATTGTCCTTTGTCGGATATTAAACTCCAAGAGACTTCATTGCGAAAAGTGACCTAAAGTAGGTGAACTCAATAAATATCTAATAAACCACTAATAGTATACATGATACTGGGGAATTCTATATTTTTTAAATTCTATTTATGAAATGTTAACTTGAAATATTTTTTTTACTCGTTAACTACAATATTTAATGAAAGAAAATGATAAAGCAGTTATGGGAAACCGTGACTTGGGCGTATATAATCTTATAATTATTCGTATGACAACTATATAGGCACTATTATTTAAAATCTGAATTTTTATAAATCATTTCTACAATATAGAAAAAAAATGTATACACGACGAGCGCACAAACATATACATATATTATATTTATACAGGTATACACAAATTATATAACACTATGGAAAATATGAAAACTACTAAAAATAATTTATAAAAGCAGCAGTCTTTCTTAAGATTCACTTTCACTGTCAGTGTACACATATATTGATTATTTCGCGCGCTATTATTACTATTATATGGACACTATTACATAGGAACCCGGTGTGTGGCGAAAACAATACTGTATTTTAATACAAGAAAACATCTAACGTAACGCAATTTAATACAGTTTTTCATAATTTTGTTCAGTTTGCAGTAACCCTCTTCCTCCTACATTTACCGTCTACCGACATACATGCATAGGATAACAATAATAACAATAATAATAAATATTATTATCACATAATTTCCGGATCGATTTGCACAACATAGTTATTGTATTTTCTCTTTTGAAGCAACAAAATAACAATTTCTAAATCTTATACCGTAAATTTTGTACCTGAACGTGATGTTAGAATAAACAGTTTTTTTAATGTTTAATATACTTTTACGAGTCACTTAATCACATTTTCAGTAAATTATTTTGAAATAACTTTGGGCTCAAGTTCAATAATAATAAATTTTTATAAATACAGAAAACAGTAAATTGTGTTCAATAGTAAATATTTATAAAATGAAATTATATAATATTTGTTGCCTTATTAATTATTCAAATATTCAATATTTTATCAAGGTTACTCTACAGGTGCATTACTCGCATACAACATTATTCGTATTGGATGAATTCTCGAGTAATGTAAATTGAAATGCAATTAATATAATAATTCTCAGTGTTGAATAAAGACCATCAGATCGTTTGAATGATATTATTTTGATTTTATACAACATAAAAAAGTACCATATATTTTAATGATAGAGAATATTCAATCCTTTATCATATAGACATATTATGATTAATAAATTAATGAATTAATATGTATTGCTCAGTAAATGTATAAAAATAGTAAACGAACATTCGTCCTAAAAATAATAAATAACTGGATATCATAATATATAATTTAAAATAATCATAACAAATAATTGCTAATATAATAAAGTACGTCGAAACAAATAATATACTTAATAACTTTTAAGAATATTTAACAATATTAAAATTAGAAAGTATGCATTCGCAATTTCTAAAAATGTATATTATACATAGTTAAAATATGACCTAATTTAGTTCGCAATATGTCCATAGGTAGTGGCTACTGAATTGATCAATAAATTTAAACCTTGCACTTAGATAAACGAGTTTTAAATGGATTCAATCAAACATGTGAATAATAAACATACTACGCAAATAATATTTTAAAACACATAGATATCAACTGCGATCGGCTCTTAGTTCAGTGGCGATTCTAGAAGATACGAACACATCGGGAGGTAAATTTTTGGTTAATTGAATGGGAGTCGCCGCAAAATCGGTATATATTATATTAATTTTTAGTAACAATAAAAATCAATTAGTGAACGAAATGTGTTATATTATAGAGGTCAACCGCCTTATTATACAATTAAGATAAGAATATGCTATGAAATAAAACCTGTATCTACCTATAGGCAGTTGGTCGCAATATGAACTTAATGTAATTATTAACTATGGTATACAAAACATACATTTTATTTAATTAAATTTTTTATATGAGTTGTTCTACTTCGACTAAACGATATTTTGTTAAAACTATCCATATGCAATCTGTTTTTTTTATAATCGAAAATCGAAGATACATAGATTTGTAAATTAATTTTTTAAATTTCTCAACTATCTTTCAAATAACTAAAGAGAAAAATCGACGTAACTCGAATTTGTTTTTTTTTAATCGTTATTCCAAAAGTTATAATCGAGAAGATTTGACATATCCATTGATTACTAATATTACTTATCTGACATAATTTTTAAAAGATTTTTTTTTACACAGTTAATATATACATTTATTTATATTTATACTTATAAATATAAGTATATTGTATACACATTATGTATACAATATTTTTACACACATTGTAAATAATTTAAATAAGTACCCATGTTTTCTTCAATTTTTTTTTTTTTTTTTATGAAATTCCAATACAATAATTTTGGACAAAAAAAAATTTGAAAATTATATACAAAGTTTCCAATCTATATTCTCACTAAAATACAAATTATTTAGCACAATTTTAAGTCTTTGAACTTTCAGTTTATAACTCTAAGTGTCCAAAATTACAAAAATCTGCAATAGTACTGTAGTTGAAAATTCATAGAACTTTAAATTGTTATACCTTAACCTTAGCCATTTAATACAAGATTATTCACAAATTATTAATTGTATTAAAAAAAAAGTTTATCTAAAATTTACATAAATAGGTATAAAGACTAAATTTTACGAAATTAGTTACTTTTATATTGATGTCTAAAAATGATATCCGTATACTATTTAGAATAGAAACGATAACTGGATACTTTTAGCATATATATATATAATAATATATTAATATTAAAAAATATCAAATGGACTACAATTGAACTTAAATTGAACATAGTAAGGTACAATGAAAAATAACATATATAATCACTTATTAGCTAAAATTATATATTTTTTTACATAAATATATATGTTTAAATAATTATAAAAAAAAAAAAAAACACCGAAATTATTGTTTAAAATACATGTGCATGTTTACAATATTTACTATAAATTATTATAAAACGTACCATTGTACGAGTTTACAATTAGTACGTATCATATACGAAGATGGAATATGTATAAACAGGTTGGTGTGAAATTTAACTCTTTAAGTCTAAAAATGTTGCTCTTTTACGTACTAGTCCTGTATCGAGTGATTAATTTTTAGTCACTCAAAAATTTAATCATCATCATAAACGAACGATATTATATTACGTCATATTTTACTTATGTTATACGCTCAAATCCTATTCATAAATTATATTTCGCGGTCGGTTGATCCGATAGGAAACTGCAATTTCACACATTTTCCCGTGAGACTTCTCGGACGTGAAAATAATATTGTTTTGATCGAACTCGTTCGCGCACACGCACATTCACACGCATGCGCGCTCGCGTACACAAAAATACACGAAGAATAGATTCAATCGAAAAACAAAACAAAAACAATCGTATAGTCACCGCATTCCAGAGCAATGTCATTTGTACACCTATACGTATAGTGCCGCCGGTAAAAGTCCATTTTTTTCAAAGCTGGGTGGCAAAATGAAACAAAAAAAAAAAATCTAAATCGAATGATCCCCGCAACCAAATGAAGATGTACTATTACATACACTCGTATATATATAATTTTAATGCTCGTTTGTTCGTGTGCGTGCAATAAAAATGAAAAATAGAATAAATGCGCACGCGTACAGGCATATAATATATATACGCACAATAGGATCGACATTAATTGAGATCGCGACGATCGCGGTAGGTGGTTTTTGACGAAATGCCGGACTGCATTGTACCGACCTTGCTCTACACTCGTGGGGGGCGAATACATCACGGACCCGTACTACAAATATAATATACACTAATACACATTATAATAGTAATATAAATAATAATAATAATAATTATAATAATCTCATAATAATAAATTTTTACAACGGTTTTCCAAAAAGTATATCGATGTGAATATTGTTCGATAGAGCAGCAACAGTGGACGACAAGTAAGCAGTGCTAGTGGCGTACACATGATGTAATTGGTAGAGTGGTATTTTTTAATCACCCTTGATCTCGTTTTTACCATGCGTATAATAAATACATGTTCAAAAAAAATTTTTATGATTATATAGGTAGTACATTTACTAATAAAACCAACAAAATTGGCTTACCATTTGAGCAACTATTGAATGAGAACGG